CTGATGTTACACGAATTAGGGTTGAATCAGTATCATGTTGAAATTCGGCGTTTCTGATGTCCATTCAGCATTCCGTTTTCGGCATTTTTGTTGTACATCCTATATTTCGTCGTCTTTTGGATTTCCGTTGTCTTTCAGTATTGGAAATTAGGGTTACGAAAATCTTTGGGTTTTAGATCAACTTGGGGAAAYTCGAACGTTTTGGGACCGTAAAACCGAAAATTTCGCCGAAACGCGGAAAATTAGGGTTGGGACCGAAATTTTCGCGAATTTTTTTTTTCGTTCCCCTTGTTTGAGAAATTCCGAAAATAGGTTTAGGCTTTCAAAAATGGGATTTTGACGGTGGGAATTCCCGGAAATTCGCGTTTTTGAAAATTCGAGCGTTTTTTCTTCTGAAATTTTCCGAATTTTTTAGCACACTAAGCCGTATCTGACCCTCAAACTGCAACTTCCGGGTAGTTCACTCAGTAACGGTGAACTCCCGGACTCAAAGTGATCTCAAAGAGACCTAATCATTATACCTTTCAAATTCATTTATTATCATGATTGCAATTATTGTTATTGATTATCTTTATTGCAAATAATGATTATTGGTTATCTTTATTACAAACATTGTTTTACTGATCATCATTCGGATTTATTTCGTTAATTATCATTAATTAATTTTATTGATTTAATCGTTATTAATTCCTTATTACGAATTTTTTGAAGGGTTTACGCGAAATTTATTTTTTCTGTTTGATTAGGTGTCTACAGTCCATCAGTGGGACAGGGGATTGTATGTATATTGCTTGATTGTTCTACCCCTGTTCCCACTCTCCCTACCCCCCTGTATTCTGTGAACACCGGCACCTCTCAAGTAYCGCATCAGWTCAGACTGATGTCGATGGAACAGGACACCGGGGCACTGCCACGGCGCAGCGCCAGGATCGCAGTTCGTGCCCGCCCTGCGGTACCTCCAAGACCCAAGAGATTCAGCAGACGGACGACTCCAGCAGCATCAAGTACGGCATTGACAGTACAAGACACCACCGGGGATCTTCCCGCATGCCCGGTCCGAGAGGCCAGCGAGCCTTTGGCTGACTATCGTGGGCGGCTACAGGCATTTACAGACGCCATAGCCGCCGCCGAGACTCAGCAGGCTGCGGCAGAGGCAGAACGTCAGCGGCTGGCCAATGAGGCGGCAGCCGAAGCTCAGCGGACAGCTGAGACTGACGAAGCGGCACGAAACAGACGGAATGCCGCCAGCACGGAGTCCCTRATTGCTAGTGAKCATCAGTGGACAACGGTACTCCAAGGCATGATCTTTGTGCCTACGGAAACGCAGGCGGAGCCGACACAGGCGGAGGCAGAGAGAAGTAACCTGGCTACTGTGATGTTGAACGTAATGAGGGGAGTAATGTGGAACAACAAACTACTGCAGGCACACCTGCACGCGGAACGACAGCAAAGACAGCAGTACCAGCAAGACCTGGCCGCTGTAACGGCCGGCGTCMGCGACKCARCAATGCAGCAGCAGCAACAGCAACAGCTGATGAACTCTACCATCGCACGCATCAACGACATTGAGGCCAAGGCCTCAGCAGCGCCAGGCTGCACGACGGACGCGACGAAGCAAATCAACGAACGCATCGATCGCGTCGTCACCATCATCGGCGACATAGGTGTTTTCAACGGACCGGACACGATCAGCAGCACGGTGGCCGCCATCAAGATGGACATCACCAAGCTATAGACGAGACCAGACGCCGCTACAAAGACGTTCAAGATGCTGCACTTCGACATCTGCAAGTTCGACGACTACAACAAGTCGGACGCTTTGACATGGTGGGAACGTTTCCTCACGGAAGCGTCATGCCGCACGGTCCCGGCTAACGACATGTTGAAGGCACTCTATTTGCAACTGATTGGAGGAGCGCAGGCATGGATGAACCACCTGGCGGCCACCCACAAGTGCACCATCGCCGAACTCCACACGCACATCACGTGGTAGGAGTTCGAGCAGCTATTGGTTCACCCAGTTCATGGTCCGCAACGTCGTGAAGGCGGCCATGAATGAGGTGTACACATGCTCTCAGGGGAACATGCCAACTCGAGACTGGACAAYGAAGTGACAAAAGATAGTGACCACACTAGGCTTCGACTTGACGTTTCCAAATCAACGATCTGAGTTCTTCTCGCGATCATGCGCGGGATTGCGGTCGGCACTCGGTAATGAGTACGACTATACCACATTCCAGGCCATTCTGGATCGAGCGAACTTGGTCATCCAAACGGACGACAAGGCCGCTAACGAGAGACAATCCCAGCCGCATTATGTGGCTAAGCAGGCCTATCAACGTCCGRCACATAACAATGCCGTGATTTATGAGGAAACCGACGACCACCACGCTGCAGCAGCATCCTCGGGTGATGGAGGAATTGTCGCAGCGCTCCCGCCGAAGCGTCCCAAGAGAGTTCGTAAGAACAAGGGGACACAAGAGACGGCAGCGACGGGAGCTGGGCAGCCATGGACGGCATATAAGATCACCAAGGAGGTCTATAACCTACGTCAGAAGTACGGATACTGCCTTTGGTGCAACGGAGTCACTCATGTGACCGCACAATGCCCCGAAAAGGGCAAGGCACGCGTACCCCGTCCAGCAAACTCGGGAAACTGAGTTACGCAAGGAGAGGGGCGACGTTTCTCCTCACTCCGCCGGACCCGGTTGCCTTGCTAGCAATCGATGTCACTACCGGGGAGCATGCGTTAGTCGCTGATTCTCGTGCTACGTACGAGGATTGTGGCGCCCAGCTGGTACCACCATTAGACCAGCCTAGCCACGTGCATGTAGATTGCGTATGCGCAGCCTGTACACCGTCGGCAAGTGATCCGGTCAGTTCGCCACTGCTTTCCGAGAACTCGACGGCATGGTCAAGACTTGAGGAGCTTGACCCGCTCACGAGAGAGGATTTCGCTTGGATACCTCTACCCTCGACCGGAACATTGCCAAGGCCGCATTGCAACGCCTTGATGGAAAATCTACGCTTCTACTTGCACACTACAGTACCAGCTCCGTTGACGGACGACGGGGTAGCGGTTGCCGATCTCCGCTCCTATCTTGCGAAGATCGACCGCGAGCACGCCACCCAAAGGTACGCCGAAACCGACGCACCTTTGCTCTATATCCGCATTCAAATCGGAA